TGTTAACTTCTGTCACATTAAAGCTCAAAGCATCCCCAGCCACTACTCCGATTTAGTCGAGGCTTTCTCCAACTCCGAGCTGCACGCTATCCTGGTCTCCGAGACTTGGTTTAAACCTCATCTACTATCTACCGCGTACTCCCTCCCTGGTTACATTCTTATACGTAATGATATAACTGATTAGAGAGGAGGAGGTGTTGCCATTTACCTTCGCAACTCTTTTTTATAACAAATCTTAACCTCTTCGACCACAACCAGCATCGCTTCTGCTGAATACCTTTTCCTTTTCGGTTCCTTTCCTTTGAGGTTTGCTTGTTTTCTTTGAGGTCCTTGGGGGTAGTTTATTGTCCCCCACCGTTGATTACTTCTCCAGTCTCGAATCGATTCTGGAATCTTTAGGGTCTGAGTATAGGGAACGTGCACTACAGTAGCGCCATCTTGTAAACGCAACTTAAGGGGCGTATGTCAAATAGTGAACGACAAGTGCTTATTTTTTTTTATATAATAAAGTAAATAGAAAATATATACGAATCCAATAAATAGTATATTATTAAAAATTTGTTAAAATAACATAAGGAAAAATAGATGTTATTATAAAAACACATTTTTTATTGCTGAGATACTGGTGTTGAAATGATTTTTTGTCAGTGAAAATAGCTTTTATCTTTTTTTCTTGGATTAGTTGTGGTTCCAATTCTTTAAGTTGTTGCTACATCTACTTAAATTTCAGCATCACAGTGATCAGTGTAAATAAAACTATTGCAAATAAAGGTTGTTTCCCTTAGATTGATTTCAGAGAAGATATTAACTTGACATTCTTGATTGACCAGACGAGGTTGAGGTTGATGTAATTCATTTCCTTCTTCCATTATTATTCCTTTTGTTGTATCCAAGACTTCTGTTTTGTCGTCGTTTTTTGGATACCATGGCGATCCATCAACACTAAACAACAAACAATAATACAATAATTAATAAATATCCAATAAAATGCAGCGCAAATAAAATTGATTTAATTAATATTGTAATTTAAAGTTATGTCCAGCATCACTTACTTTTTCCTTTTTACTATACATACAAACATGCTATACATTTCATTCTTTGATCTAATTTACAACCGTGGGTGAGGCAATGCGTCGCAGAGATTAAGGCATTTCGTAAATTTCAGAGAAACCGCTGCGACGAAAACTGGGCCATTTATAGAGAAATCGGTGTTACCTGATGGTGCGTAACGCTAAACGCTGCCATATTCTCAAAAACCTGAATTGTGCATCTGCTTTAAATATCTAGAGGTTCCTTGGTTGACCCTAGCTATCGGCAAATCCAAAAAACGTAACCTTCCCCCGGCCTTTGATTTAGATGATATTAACAGTCATTTCTCCTCATCACCACAGTTTGATCATCAAATCAAGTGTTGGACGTTACAGTTCCTGGCGGATCTACCCCGTCCTAATATTGAAGCTTTCCAGTTTTCTCCAGTAGAACCAGGAGTGCTCAAAAAGATAATCCTTTCAATCAAATCCAATGCAATGGGATGTGATATCATTAACTGTCGCTTGATCATTCCTATCCTCGATCACATCCTTCCAGTGCTTACGTTTATGATATTTTTTTCTCCGGACTCGGGGATGTATCCTTCATTATCGCGTAAAGTATTTGTAATTCCTCTCCTCAAGATCCCGAATCCTACACTCCTGAATTAACCACGACCAATCTCCATTCTTCTGTTCCTATCCGAAATCCTCGAGGCCTTTTTTTTTTTTTTTACGTGTGGAAATCCCTTCGGACCGGACCGGACCGGACCGGAAAACTATTCGGATCGGTCAGAGCCACCACCCACACCGGTGCACCATACAGCGCCATGGACCGGACAACCCCCCGCGTACAGCCGCCTCGTGGGAACACTGGCCCCGCCCAAATTGGGCAACAGTCGCCCAAGGGCGGAGGCAGTGTCCACCAGCTTCGGACCAAGCTGTCGGAAGTGCTCGTCGAAGAGCCACCTACCGTCTAGGACCAGACCCAGGTACCTCATCTGGGCCCGGACCGGTACGAGGACCGAGCCGACCTCGATTGAGGCGCCGGCGGGTGGACCACGACGGGGCCCATGGAATAATAGGGCCTCCGTCTTATCCAGGGCCACCCGTAATCCCAACGCCTCAATGCGCCCGACCACCTGGGAAACTCCCGTGGCGGCCAGGCGCGCCTCGTCCTGGAAGTTAGCCCCCCGGGCCGTGACTAAAGTGTCATCCGCGTAGCAGACGACACCCAGCCCGGGGGGGAGACGCCCTCGTAGGGCCCAGTCGTACCCGATGTTCCACAGGAGAGGTCCTAGGACAGACCCCTGCGGAACACCGCACGACATGGCCCTGCGTCTCAAGACGCCATCACTCCGGCACTCCGTGGTAGCGGAGCGCTTCCCTGATGCAGCTGAATGGCAGACTATTGAAGGCGTTGGCGATGTCCAAGGACACCGCCAACACCACTCCGCCGCAGCTCACGGCCTCCTCGGTCACGGCCCTAAGGCGCATCACGGCATCGATCGTCGAAACCGAATTGGGCGTCCGACAGATGGGGGCCAACCTCGCAGAGGTGCCGGACGATGCGGGCAGGGAGTACCCTTTTAAAAAGTTAACCCGCCTCGTCCAGCAACACGATAGGCCTATAGGCCGCGACCGAATCGGTAGGCCGTCCCGGCTTCCTCAGCAGGACCAGCTTCCCGCATTTCCAGCGCTCAGGGAAGCGTCCGGACGCCAGGCTAACGCCCAACACCCCCCTGAGGTGGTCCGACATGTAGTCGAGGGCTCGGGCCATCACTCGGGCTGGAACCCCTTCTGGGCTTCCCTTGGGCAGTGTTCTTGGATCGAATCCGTAGAACAGCCGCCCCCAAAAATCCTCGGGGCCTATGTCAACCAACAACCATCCCAACACATCTACAGAAACAACTTACAGAGCCCTTTGTAATCGGGGTTCAGGCTCGGGCATAGCACAACTGCCGCACTGCTTAAAGTATTGAGGTATTGAGAAAGTAACTGTGTTGGCTTTGGTTCATTTCTCAAAATTAAATACATTCAGCACCGTCAATCACGATATCCTTCTATCCATCCTTTCCTATCTCATGACTACGCCTGATACACTGGAATGGTTCTCGTCATATGTCTAGGGGCGACAACAGTCTGTTTGCGTTGATGTTATCTCTTCAAGTTGGCGTGAACTTTACTATGGTGGCCCTCAAGGTGGCATATTATTCTCAATATTTATCAATCTCATCGCTCCGAACCTTCAATGTGTGTACCATCTTTATGCCGATGACTTGCAACTCTATTATCAAGCCTCGATAGACGACGGATATTTTTATGGTTAACAGTGACTCGGAGGCTATTAACGGTTGGGCTGATAAGTTCGGTTTGGCTGTAAATCCAGCGAAGTGCCAATTCATCATCATAGGCAGTCAACGTAGACTACGGGCCTTCTAACGACTTAGGAACTGCCTTCCTCCCGAGACAAAAGCGATGCTAGTACAGACCCTAATTGTCCCAATCTTGGATTATAATGATGTATGCTACTATGACCTAAATGCAGATCTCCTCAATAAATATGACCGCTTTCTAAATAACTGCATTCGATTCGTCTTTAACCTTCGCAAGTATGACCATGTTACCTCCTTTCGGCGCGAATGGGACTGGCTCATGATACGTCAACTGTGCGCTCTCACCACCCTCTATTTCATTCTCAACTCACCCATTTCCTCTTCCTGCCTTACATCCTCATTCCAATTACTATGTTCTAATCACAACAGGACCCTCCGTTCCTTAAACAATCCACTCCTGTTATGTCCTACTCATACTTCCGCGGGTGTCCACTCTTCGTTCCTAATCCAATCTGTACTCCTATGGAACGCTCTACCTCTCGAAATTAGGATAGCACCCAGCCGCCTTTCATTTAAGTCGAAAGCTAGAGCTCGCATTCTGGACATCACTACTCAGTCATTTCCCCACCACCCAAAGGTTGACTGGGAGAAAATGCTTGTGGCATTAAGTCCGCCATTGTACAAGTGAGTTGTAATTTGTGCATGAAGAATAAAATAATTAAATAAATCGATAACAGCACTGCAATGAGAAAGAAAACTAGAAGCAAACGCTATACCAACCCGTCTGGCCAGCGTGATATAGTGGGCCAAAAGCTCTTTTCTAAGGAGAAGCCTATGTCTAGCAGTGGTCTATTAAAGGTCTCGTATTAACAGATCACCCTTCTAATTTCTTTTTATGATATAGAGAGAGCAAAGGAGCAGACGGTCAACTGATGGCGAGTAAATACCAATGCCCAGAGACATTTGCAGCTCAAAAGCTACAAGTGCGTTGCGCCCTCTATCTAATTCTGTAGAGGTTGGACACATTAACGGGTAGACTACATAAATACGAAAGACTTTATTCCGACAGTCACAAATACGAAATTAATTAATTCCGAATGGTTCAAAATGCCCAGTATAACAACTCCGATTTATCATTCATCCTATTTTTATAATTCAAAAATTTCAATATTCCTACCGTTCATACTTGCTATACTCAAAATACCGAGTTTCAATAGATCGAATAACAAAACAACTCAATCAGAATCATAATCCTAACTTTAGCAGTTTATTCGAAGTATCGAAAATCGGAATGTCGTTTTTCGGACCGAGAACCCATTGAGCATTTGATTCTTTGAACGTATAAAAATCGCAAAACAAAGAAATCGCATAATTACGACTTTCAGTAAAATAAATTTCGTTTAAAATTCGAAATTTATTTTATGAATTATGATGACATTATGAATCTTAGGTATTATAAAACTCGAACTTTTTGGAACGTCGAAATTCTATATAAAATGTTTCGGAGTATTTTGGTGTTCCCCCCGTGAACCGCACTTCACCTCACACACTGTGACGCTGTTGTATTAAAGCGCACGTACCAGCTCATATGTGCCGTGCATGATACTTCCACGGTTAACTTCTAATTCTTACTCACCTTCTTCTTCCAAGGGATTAAAAGCCTTAGAGGATACCGAATTTTCACTATCCGTTGTTAAATTTAACTTTGGGTTATTGATGTTGCCAAACTGTCTCTTCGGTTCATCCTGAAATTACAAAGAAATTCTACTAACAAAGAGTTCTAGTAATTTTAGACAACTGTTTTTTTTTAAATTCACTTCTTGTGTAATTCAAATCAAGTATTCCTTTACTCCTTAATCTTCAAAAAGGGTGAAATAAAGGAGCGAAGGTTAGAGTTTATATTTCTCCCTTAATGCTGTGCATACATTTTCTTTATATTTTGGCACTGTCTTCTTCTCTTCTTATGGTAACTGACTACCGCTGCCTGCAAGAACGATATCTGTTATCTACCGGAGAACGGATGGGGCTGTTTAGGCCGCTGGTAACCTTTTATAGTATATAGGTTTTATAAGTGGACTTGTTACTGATAATGATTACAGTGTGGCAACTTCTACATAAAAAGAAACAGAAACATACTACATCTCCATCTAACGAAAACACACCGAACTACGGAGTAACTGCTAATCCAGTGTGTAACTGTGAACTATTTTCTCGCCGATTAGCATATATACAACTTCCCAACATCAACCGTTGGGCCGCGGCCCGCTAGGCCTGAAGACCTCGCCTGGTCAGAGGATCCTCCCTTTGAGTCGGAGGGACATGACACCTGTTCATCCACAACAGATCGGCACGTGACAAAAATAATGAAGTACTTACTAAAGCATTTGTAGCCGGTAGTAAAGGCTTCTCTATACTCGGAGGTTTCAACTCTTCAGTTTCCTTTTCTTTTGGAGAATCAATGAATTTTACAGTAGTTACTTTATTTCCTAGTCGTATTACTGCCCAATGAGGGACGTTGATGTTTATTTTACTAAATTCAAAACTTATGTCTGTATCGTTAATAAAACAGCTCACTTCTCCTGATGGCTTCACACAGAAATGGAAGATATTGTATTTGTCATTAAAGTCAAAAAATTTCTCAAAAAATATCGTCCGATGGAAATGTGGCAAATACTGATGGTCGGCTAAAGTGTTCGGATCACAATCTCTAATGCTTAAGGCCTGAGTAATCAGTATAAAGTGCTTGGACCTGTTTCTACTCTTAAGTATACCTAAAATTAAAATGCCACATAAGTTAAGACACACTGGTCGATATTCCGTAAAGTAGATACTTTTTTTAAAACCAACATATTACTCACATTAATTTAGTCTCTGACGCGGGAGAGCCTAAAACGGGCTTTTTAATATGTACAACAAAATAATCGTCACTTCGGTCGAACTTCCCTGTACAGCAGTCTGGTTACCATAGTATAACGGTCTGACTAATTTGGGATCAGACTGCCGTGTATGAGATGTATGAAGTTATTATTATTATATACCCTTATCTACACTAATATCACACAGAGGAAAGATTTTGTTTTTTATTTGTTTGGTTTGGGGCACCATCTGTTTGCGTTGATGTTATCTCTTCAAGTTGGCGTGAACTTTACTATGGTGGCCCTCAAGGTGGCATATTATTCTCAATATTTATCAATCTCATCGCTCCGAACCTTCAATGTGTGTACCATCTTTATGCCGATGACTTGCAACTCTATTATCAAGCCTCGATAGACGACGGATATTTTTATGGTTAACAGTGACTCGGAGGCTATTAACGGTTGGGCTGATAAGTTCGGTTTGGCTGTAAATCCAGCGAAGTGCCAATTCATCATCATAGGCAGTCAACGTAGACTACGGGCCTTCTAACGACTTAGGAACTGCCTTCCTCCCGAGACAAAAGCGATGCTAGTACAGACCCTAATTGTCCCAATCTTGGATTATAATGATGTATGCTACTATGACCTAAATGCAGATCTCCTCAATAAATATGACCGCTTTCTAAATAACTGCATTCGATTCGTCTTTAACCTTCGCAAGTATGACCATGTTACCTCCTTTCGGCGCGAATGGGACTGGCTCATGATACGTCAACTGTGCGCTCTCACCACCCTCTATTTCATTCTCAACTCACCCATTTCCTCTTCCTGCCTTACATCCTCATTCCAATTACTATGTTCTAATCACAACAGGACCCTCCGTTCCTTAAACAATCCACTCCTGTTATGTCCTACTCATACTTCCGCGGGTGTCCACTCTTCGTTCCTAATCCAATCTGTACTCCTATGGAACGCTCTACCTCTCGAAATTAGGATAGCACCCAGCCGCCTTTCATTTAAGTCGAAAGCTAGAGCTCGCATTCTGGACATCACTACTCAGTCATTTCCCCACCACCCAAAGGTTGACTGGGAGAAAATGCTTGTGGCATTAAGTCCGCCATTGTACAAGTGAGTTGTAATTTGTGCATGAAGAATAAAATAATTAAATAAATCGATAACAGCACTGCAATGAGAAAGAAAACTAGAAGCAAACGCTATACCAACCCGTCTGGCCAGCGTGATATAGTGGGCCAAAAGCTCTTTTCTAAGGAGAAGCCTATGTCTAGCAGTGGTCTATTAAAGGTCTCGTATTAACAGATCACCCTTCTAATTTCTTTTTATGATATAGAGAGAGCAAAGGAGCAGACGGTCAACTGATGGCGAGTAAATACCAATGCCCAGAGACATTTGCAGCTCAAAAGCTACAAGTGCGTTGCGCCCTCTATCTAATTCTGTAGAGGTTGGACACATTAACGGGTAGACTACATAAATACGAAAGACTTTATTCCGACAGTCACAAATACGAAATTAATTAATTCCGAATGGTTCAAAATGCCCAGTATAACAACTCCGATTTATCATTCATCCTATTTTTATAATTCAAAAATTTCAATATTCCTACCGTTCATACTTGCTATACTCAAAATACCGAGTTTCAATAGATCGAATAACAAAACAACTCAATCAGAATCATAATCCTAACTTTAGCAGTTTATTCGAAGTATCGAAAATCGGAATGTCGTTTTTCGGACCGAGAACCCATTGAGCATTTGATTCTTTGAACGTATAAAAATCGCAAAACAAAGAAATCGCATAATTACGACTTTCAGTAAAATAAATTTCGTTTAAAATTCGAAATTTATTTTATGAATTATGATGACATTATGAATCTTAGGTATTATAAAACTCGAACTTTTTGGAACGTCGAAATTCTATATAAAATGTTTCGGAGTATTTTGGTGTTCCCCCCGTGAACCGCACTTCACCTCACACACTGTGACGCTGTTGTATTAAATCGGACGTACCAGCCCATATGTGCCGTGCATGATACTTCCACGGTTAACTTCTAATTCTTACTCACCTTCTTCTTCCAAGGGATTAAAAGCCTTAGAGGATACCGAATTTTCACTATCCGTTGTTAAATTTAACTTTGGGTTATTGATGTTGCCAAACTGTCTCTTCGGTTCATCCTGAAATTACAAAGAAATTCTACTAACAAAGAGTTCTAGTAATTTTAGACAACTGCTTTTTTTAAATTCACTTCTTGTGTAATTCAAATCAAGTATTCCTTTACTCCTTAATCTTCAAAAAGGGTGAAATAAAGGAGCGAAGGTTAGAGTTTATATTTCTCCCTTAATGCTGTGCATACATTTTCTTTATATTTTGGCACTGTCTTCTTCTCTTCTTATGGTAACTGACTACCGCTGCCTGCAAGAACGATATCTGTTATCTACCGGAGAACGGATGGGGCTGTTTAGGCCGCTGGTAACCTTTTATAGTATATAGGTTTTATAAGTGGACTTGTTACTGATAATGATTACAGTGTGGCAACTTCTACATAAAAAGAAACAGAAACATACTACATCTCCATCTAACGAAAACACACCGAACTACGGAGTAACTGCTAATCCAGTGTGTAACTGTGAACTATTTTCTCGCCGATTAGCATATATACAACTTCCCAACATCAACCGTTGGGCCGCGGCCCGCTAGGCCTGAAGACCTCGCCTGGTCAGAGGATCCTCCCTTTGAGTCGGAGGGACATGACACCTGTTCATCCACAACAGATCGGCACGTGACAAAAATAATGAAGTACTTACTAAAGCATTTGTAGCCGGTAGTAAAGGCTTCTCTATACTCGGAGGTTTCAACTCTTCAGTTTCCTTTTCTTTTGGAGAATCAATGAATTTTACAGTAGTTACTTTATTTCCTAGTCGTATTACTGCCCAATGAGGGACGTTGATGTTTATTTTACTAAATTCAAAACTTATGTCTGTATCGTTAATAAAACAGCTCACTTCTCCTGATGGCTTCACACAGAAATGGAAGATATTGTATTTGTCATTAAAGTCAAAAAATTTCTCAAAAAATATCGTCCGATGGAAATGTGGCAAATACTGATGGTCGGCTAAAGTGTTCGGATCACAATCTCTAATGCTTAAGCCTGAGTAATCTTTATACGTGCTTGGACCTTTTTCTACTCTTAAGTATACCTAAAATTAAAATGCCACATAAGTTAAGACACAGTAGTCGATATTCCGTAAAGTAGAGACTTTTTTTAAAACCAACATATTACCCACATTAATTTAGTCTCTGACGCGGGAGAGCCTGAAACGGGATTTTTATATGTACAACAAAATAATCGTCACTTCGGTCGAACTTCCCTGTACAGCAGTCTGGTTACCATAGTATACGGTCTGACTAATTTGGGATCAGACTGCCGTGTATGAGATGTATGAAGTTATTATTATTATATACCCTTATCTACACTAATATCACACAGAGGAAAGATTTTGTTTTTTATTTGTTTGGTTTGTAATGAATAGACTCCGAACTACTGAACCGATTTTAAAATTTCTCTTAACAATGGCAAGCTACATAATCACCGAGTAACATTGGCTAATCGACATAAACGCGAACAAAACGGAGGAGTAGGCAAAACAAACAAACTCACTTTAACATTTATAATATAATATAGATAACTAACTTACTCACCTTCTCGTTAATAGCTATAGGCCTAGAGCTGAAGGCGACACATTCGCTGATCAAGAGATAACTCTCCTCCTCCTCCCCTTTTGGTATCGCAATTTGTGCAGTACAAAAGTCGTTAGAGAGCTTTATGGACTCTCCGTGGACTCTATGAAAACGTAGTGGAGTTAGATCGTCCATTGCAAATCGATCGGAAGTTGCGCAATCTGCAAGAGACAGAAGAGAGATATGAAAGGAGTAATCGTCTTTTTTAAGGTATCGGAGGGTAAACAATTACACGGGTCAACTAATGGTAAGTGAATACCGCCGCCCATCAACAGCCTATCGAAGGCCACTGCTGGACATAGGCCTATCCCTTATTATACTTCTCGCATCCAGCTCCTGCCAGCCATTTTAAGCAGATCGTCACTCCACTTGGCTTGTGGACGCCCTACACTACGTTTGCCTAGACGCGGTCTCTACTCAAGGAATCGTTTACCTCTGTACTGTAGTAAGTGTTGTATAACCAAGTTCATGTAACCATGCCTTTATTAGAATAAGCTAAGTAAGCAAGTAAGTTACGTTTTAATACATTGTATTCAATGTGACACTTATAAAATAGACGTTAACCTGTTCGGATGTATTTTATTTAATACAACACTTCACCCTAAACGGTTGTCGGTTCTGCGGCTAATATGGTCAGCCAAGATGAACAACCCGAAGCGCGACACTACCGCCAGCAGGACATGATTGAGTAGACCGTGGAAACGCTCAAAACCACCACAAAGTTACTAAAAATATGGACTAACATTACAAGCCTACACAATACTCAAATTTACATACTTACACTTAAAAAAATACCATACAATTTATGTTCAAGGAAAAAATAAACAAATGGAAAACAAACGAAATTCAACAAAAAATTTAATGTCTATCACTTTCAAACATAACAACAATGATAGGAATGTAAATGTGGGAGTGAGCAGCATCAATTCCATGTAAATTTGGTTCCGTATTCCGTATTTGGTTCCGATTGATTGGTTTCGTAGTTACCTGTATGGTCGCCAGCAGCGTGCTTATATTGAAAATGTGTACTCCTCTTGGCGCACAACATCTGCGGGCGTACCTCAGGGCGGCGTGTTATCACCGTTACTTTTTGCAGTTTTTATTAACTCAATCACAAATCAATTACTTTCTTCCTTACCATCTTTATGCAGATGATCTCCAAATTTACTCACAAGCTACTCCAGATAATCTAACAGAAACAGTGGATGCCATTAACAGAGACTTAGTGCGAATATGTAACTGGAGTACGGAGTACGGACGAAGTGTAAACCATTTTTTTTTTTTTTTTTTCCGTGCGGAAATCCTCTCGGATACCACCTGTCGGTGGCATGTCGGACACGAACCTACTAAAACCGCACGCCGTCGCCGGGTACTAATAGCCGGGGAACCAGGTATACCCTAGAAAGGAAGTCCCTGGTGCCCCGACATACCTCGGGTCATCTACAGACGAGTAGACGACCCCCCCCCGTGTGGGAACCCCATGTTCCCTGTGCTCCCTGGAAGCGAGCGCGCTTCGCAACGCGCTCGCCGCCACCCCGGCCTGCTTCTGCTAGGGTGACAGATGGCCTCACCTGTCACCCCCAGGCCTGCGCTTATGGAGGACGGAGGTCGTTCTGCGACCTCCGGCGCTTGAGTCGCCTGCGTTGCCTGGCCCGTGCCCGGGCCTGGCGGGCCGGGAGAGTTCTAAACCTCTCCCGGTCCCGCTCCGCCGTCTCCTTCGCGAGCATAACTTGCTCGCAGAAGGAGACGGCAGAGTTCCACGCACTCTCGCTCCGCACGATAGCCGCAATCAGACTATCGAGCGAGAGAACTCCCACTCCGATGGCCGCCACGAGGTCTCGACTCTGCTCAACGCCGGGCACTCTGCCAGCGTGTGGAGAGCCGTGTCCACGGTCTGGCCATCGCAGTGGTGGCACTCAGGCGTGGGCTCCTTGCGGATCAGACACAGGTGATCTCCGAAACATCCCTTCCCAGTGATCACCTGCGTCAATCGGTATGAGAGGGTCCCGTGACGCCTCTCGAGCCAATCCTCCATAACGGGTCTTACCGCTGCAATGACGGCGTGCCCGCGAAGTGTAAACCCTACGAAAACACAAGTCATTATAGTAGGAAGTCCCAGGCTGCAATGTAAAATTAACTTTCAGCAGATTCCACGAATATCCTGCAACGGTTTGGTTGTCCCATATAATAAAAAGTTAAAAACTTAGGGATCTATATGAATAGGTACCTATCCTGGGCTCTTCAGATTGGAGAAGTTAGCCGCAAACTATTTGCTTAAGCGGGATCTCTGCGAAGGCTACGGAACTTCCTTCCCACCAATACTAAAAATGCGCTCGCACAATCTCTTCTTCTTCCCATCCTTGACTACGGCGATGTCAGCTACCTGGATCTCACCGAAGACCAACTGAACAAACTTGATCGACTCCAAAACCTCGGTATTAGATTCATATTTGGATTACGCAAGTATGAACACATTATTTAGATGGCTATGGCTACCAATACGCCTACGCCGGAATCTCCATATTCTTTCTCTTTTATACAGTGTTCTGTTTCATCCTCACACACCCTCTTATCTCAAAGAACGTTTTGAGTTCTTACACACTACACATTGCAGGGACCTGAGGTCATCGGAGAATTTAAAACTAAAAATGCCAAAACATTCCACCCAGATTGCAGGCAAATTTTTTACTGTGCAAGCCTGGAGCAACTTGCCTGAAACAATCCGACAAGCTAAAACCTTGCCTGTTTTTAAAAAACTTTTAAATGATGTTTATCTGTCATTATTAATACTGTTTAGATTCACTATTTTAAATATTATATTATTCTAAATAATGTATGGATGTGTGTATGTATGTATATATGTGTATTTGTATATGTGTAATGTGCATAAATGCATATTTGTGTATGAATATGTTTGTTGATATTTTTAAATATTCATGTGATTATGTACTTAAATATTTCATGTATACTACCCTAAACTGTTACATATCTAAAATCCGGGTTAAGGTTGTCTGGAAGAGGTCGCTGTGAGCGATAAGACCGCCGATTGTTACGTCTACTTATTTGTAACTCATCTTTTGTTATTTTCTTTTTGAGTGTATACAATAAAGATATAAATAAAAATAAATTTGCCATCTAAATAATCTGTAACTATGTAGTATTCGTAAGCCTTTCCACATAGTTTTTGTTTTACTAAGGTTTTACTAAAGTTATGTCCAACATCACATACTTTTTCCTTTTTACAGCAGCTATACATTTCATTCTTTGATCTAATGCGTCGTAGTGATTAAGGCATTTCGTAAATTTCAGAGAAACCGCTGCGACGAAAACTGGGGCATTTATAGAGTTGCGAGAAATCGGTGTTACCTGATGGTGCGTAACGCTAAACGCTGCCATATTCTCAAAAACCTGAATTGTGCATCTGCTTTAAATATCTAGAGGTTCCTTGATACCCTAGCTATCGGCAAATCCAAAAAACGTAACCTTCCCCCGGCCTTTGATTTAGGTGATATTAACCGTCATTTCTCTTCATTACCACAGTTTGATCATCAAATCAAGTGTTGGACGTTACAGTTCCTGGCGGATCTACCCCGTCCTAATATTGAAGCTTTCCAGTTTTCTCCAGTAGAACCAGGAGTGCTCAAAAAGATAATCCTCTCAATCAAATCCAATGCAATGGGATGTGACATTAACTGTTGCTTGATCATTCCTATCCTCGATCACATCCTTCCAGTGCTTACGTTTATGATATTTTTTTTCTCTGAACTCGGGGATGTATCCTTCATTATGGCGTAAAGTATTTGTCATTCCTCTCCCCAAGATCCCGAATCCTACACTCCTGAATTAACCACGACCAATCTCCATTCTTCTGTTCCTATCCAAAATCCTCGAGGCCGATCTATCCGCGACCGCGGTAAAACAACTGTCGCTACCGGCCATGGAGCGAATTACTGCCGGTAGCGAGAGATCTGCTCCGATGACTGCAGTGAGGGCCCGGCGCTGCGTCGCCCATGCAGGGCAAACCGCCAGCGTGTGCTGGGCCGAAACCTCACTGCAGTCGCAGTGGTGGCAGGCGGGACTCGATTCCCTCCACGGCGGCGAAGCCAGCGCGTGGAGTCTCCAGCCGGAACGACCATCTGACCATGGTGGCTCGGCGAGCGGCTTCGCGCCACTCGCGCACGTCTGCGGGCGAAGGGCGAAATCCGCTCTCCGCCCGGAAGTCAGCCACTCGCCGATAAACTTCGGCGAGCACTTCCGCCTCCAAATCCCAGGGGGGTGTTCCGGCCAAGGCGCAAGCCGCCTCGGTGGACACCGTGCGGTATGCGCGTATGGCTCTGACCGCCAATATCCTCTGGGGGCGCCAGAGGCGCGCCCTATTCGGGGCGGTAAGAGCCCCCACCCACACCGGTGCACCATAAAGCGCCATGGACCGGACAACCCCCGCGTACAGCCGCCTCGTGGGAACACTGGCCCCGCCCAAATTGGGCAAAAGTCGCCCTAGGGCGGAGGCAGTGTCCACCAGCTTCGGACCAAGCTGTCGGAAGTGCTCGTCGAAGAGCCACCTACCGTCTAGGACCAGACCCAGGTACCTCATCTGGGCCCGGACCGGTACGAGGACCGAGCCGACCTCGATTGAGGCGCCGGCGGGATGACCACGACGGGGCCCATGAAATAAAAGGGCCTCCGTCTTATCCAGGGCCACCAGCAAACCCAACGCCTCAATGCGCCCGACCACCAGGGAAACTCCCGTGGCGGCCAGGCGCGCCGCCTCCTGGAAGTTAGCCCCAGGGGCCGTGACTAAAGTGTCATCTGCGTAGCAGAGTACACCCAGCCCTGGGGGGAGACGCCCTCGTAGGGCCCAGTCGTATCCAATGTTCCACAGGAGTGGTCCTAGGACAGACCCCTGCGGAACACCGCACGACATGGCCCTGCGTCTCAAGACGCCATCTCGGTCCTCGTACATGACGGTTCGCTCCTCAAGATAGTCTGCCACCAGCCGCCTCAGGTACTCCGGCACTCCGTGGTAGCGGAGCGCTTCCCTGATGCAGCTGAATGGCAGACTATTGAAGGCGTTGGCGATGTCCAAAAGACACCGCCAACACCACTCCGCCGCAGCTCACAGCCTCCTCGGTCGCGTCCCTAAGGCGCATCACGGCATCGA